TACTATATGTATAAGTGTGCGCAAATTATATAGGCCATGGTAATTAAATTATTACCTGTCTACAATGAAACCAGTTCTGCTGCATGTACGGTTTCAAGTACCAACTGGTGACATAGGTCGAATGGTACAGATCTGAACCATATTCTATGAATGTTCTATAAAGAAAAGACGAACATAGATTAATTCTATGATGCAATACGCAATAAACAGCCTACGAGTGAAATAGATAAGTGTTCGCTGATGCAACCTGAACGACAACGACTTCATCATACGTCCTAATAATGCTACCGATGGCCGAGCCAACTTCGAGTTGTAACATTCATCGAGAAAATGACTTGGTGAATGAGGACAAATTACTAGTAATGCACGATATGAACTATGCTCATCATGGGCGCATCTAAAAGGCCAGGTGAGAGTAACATGATTGCCTTCTATATATCTACCCCTCCACATTTGCGAGACCTGTCGATAAATCGGCCTGTTTTCTTCATAGCTCGCTCCATAATTACGTTCGAATAGCCTTAACGCCTCTTAACACGCGATCATTCTAAATTATAGTCAGATGGATTCTATTACCAATTATAGTGATGTACACTTTTCCAAATATCGCAACGATCTTCCACTTGAATTCAGTACAGTAAATCAAGTCTTATACTTACGTTCCCGAGAGGTAAAAAAATCACCTCAAATTTGGCGGGTTTATTTCGGTTTCCAAGGCTCTCCCGCATTGACGCCATTCAACTTTCCGCCTGGGCTTGCTCCGGGTTTAATTGCCCTTGCAGTCTAGTTACTGTATTTGCTCTTAACATGAACAGAGCCCTCACAAGATTAATCTGTCTATTCCTTTGGTGACTAATATCAGACGGTATTTCACTGCCATTCTTCTATCAAATAGCAATAAAAACATTTGCAAAGCCTGCTAATCGGCATTAAAGAAAATTGCGATTAAAACTCGGTAGATAAGATCTATCTCCATTAGATAGCAAACACACGTGGATATCCAGTGATTAAGACAACTAATTCTTACTTCTAGTAATCGAGACATTGCAGAACCAAGCATGCAGAGACAACATATGACAATCTACATATGGCTCGATCTTTATGAAGAGTGTATTCTTGGCCCATAAAAACGTGACTACAATTACCAATAGAATTTAAGGAGAAGCGTGTTACACAATAAATACCATAGAGCGCTGACTAGTGCCCCGTGTAAAGTACCCCCACCATATAAGGCAATAGATATTTGGTACAGCAAACCCCTATCACGTGGCTTATAATAACCAATGACAATTCTTCGATTGGCTGTTGACGTAATAATAATAGATTGTAGTGACCTAATAGATTGAGCTCCGTAAAGTCTGATTGCGAGTCTTGAGCCATTGGAACCATTTCCGTTTAAACACGTTTCGATGCTTTTTATTCTGCTGCATAAAAGTAAGATTAAGAAAGCGTTCTCACCCGAGATTAGTGGAAATGTGAGATATGTACCCGTCCCGCCATTCCGCTCCGATGAGGTAATAGTAAATTAAATGTGAATAGTTTATTATTATATATATGCTCTGAACATTCAATTGCTGTGAACACTTATGAAAGAAAATATGAAAAACTCAAAGAAATAATTCCCAAGTCTCCCGACACATATCTCTGTGAGCATATTGAAAGATAGTAGCAGTAATTGATAATTAATAAATCATCACAAGGCTATATTAATATATTAATATCAATATTGTCTCGTATTTAGACGACCTATTGGTTAATTCTGCTTACTGTTACAAGATTTAAGAATGTGCCCAAGCTAAATATATTAATATACTTGATAATAATCTTCGCTCAAAAAGTAAAGTGAAATCTAATTCCAAAGCTTGTGCTAAAACTGTTGTTCCATCTAAAACTTGCTATTTAACACTAATACTCAATATAGATAAATCCTATTATAGTTCTTGAGGTTGAGAAACACTCCCCTTAATTTCAACGATATTGTATCATTTGGATCCATTTCTAACAATTCGTTGAGACATGTAATGCATGCTCTTATTGTCCAAGTTTATAAATAATTTACCGAGGTCTTTTAAGGCCTCGCACTATCTAGTTCAATGTTTAGTGACGCATTGAGACTATGTAATACTTTTCCCCCTTAACCTCAGCACAATTGCATCGCTGGGTTTTGTGATCATTTAGGGCATCGCCATATTGTTCGCGATTGGCGAAAACTTCTCCCCTTATTCCCAACGCAGCTATTTTGTTATTGGTCGAGGAGACCTTGGGGATGCTGCAACTGACACGTTTGTATTTGGCGCTGTTAAAGTTGCGTTTGATGCTGTTTGTGTATGCGCGTTGGGTGAAAATATTGTGTTTAGACTCCATATTTTGAACTGAGTCCATGTCTGATGTTTCATTCGTCGAAGTGTGGAATGACATTCTTGGTTTTTGTGATAATTTATATTACCAGAATGTATATTAATATGTTGCAGAACCTGAGTTTACTCATGCCATTATATATGCCCATTCCCTTTATTCGTCTGCTTTGTAATGACAATGACTTACTAAACGTGGATTTCGACATTCAACCTGAAAATAGGCGATAGGGAATAGCAATTCCCAAATTCGTACGTCCTTAAACATAGGTATGCATTAGGGCTGCGAATGAATGGTCCTTGACTTCCCTTTATTCGTCTGCTTTTGTAATGGCAATGCCTTACTAAACGTGGATTTCGACATTCAACCTGAAAATAGGCGATATGGAATAGCAATTCCCAAATTCGTACGTCCTTAAACATTGGTATGCATCAGGGCTGCGAACGAACTTCCCTTTATTCGTCTGCTTTTGTAATGGCAATGACTTACTAAACGTGGATTTCGACATTCAACCTGAAAATAGGCAATGATATAGCGATAGGGAATAGCAATTCCCAAATTCGTACGCCCTTAAACATTGGTATGCATTAGGGCTGCGCACGTTATTCGTCTGCTTTTGTAATGGCAATGACTCCCACACAACAACAGCCTAGTTTTTTTCTACGTGCGATTAACATAACATATACGCATCGATAGTTTGGTTGAACGTAGCGAGGGACCATTATGATGAAAGAGCGCGCGAAAACACTGAAGAGGAAGGGACAGATCGCTGTCGTATCAGCGCGCGAATTCTTGGCATTCTCCAGTTCTCGTCTTCTATACTGTCATCGAGTAATGCTTAACCCATCCATTTTGCCGCAATGTCTGATTCCAGATTGTCTTTGAAATGACGAGACGTTAATATGGCACATATCCTTCGTCTTTATCAGCACATTCTTCTGTAGTTTCAAGAGGAAGCAATTTAAAGTTGAACTTGCACTTTGTCTGACATGAGTACAATTTCTCAATTCACGTGCCGTCTATACCCCAATGAGAATTCAACCCGTAAACAGCCATTTAATACGTTGAGCTGCTTCCGCTTTACAATATCCAAGGACCTTTTAGAAATGGTACAGCAGCTATTAATATTGATAGGCGCGACACAGGTTAGTTAGCAGAGACAGTAGTGATTACGCTGTTATTAAATATTAAATGTTAACGGTAACATTTGATTGTAGGTGCTTCAGCAGATATTTATGCTGACGAGTTTAACTGACGAGTTCGAAGAATATCAGTTTCAAAAAACGGGTAAGTTCCATAATTGTACATACCGCCTTCGTTATTTTCTGAATATGTTTATTTTTGCTTAAAACTCACAACACAATATCTATTCAAACTCTCGACAGTTTTGATGAACAGACCTTCCTTTTCGTCTGGCTCACGATTCCAACTTCTCACTGGCAAATGCTTGCCAATTGAAACATGGAATGAGAAGAAAAAGGAACGTGTCCCGCACCAAGCAGACGTTCATCAAACGGTTTTTTGAACTTGCGCGGCAAATACATAAGCGCAAAGTATCCCACATAAATATAAGACGAAAAACCTTTTAACCGATTGGTTCACTTTTACTTATTTAGAAATGAATTTATTTGTATAATATTTGTATACTATTAAATAACTGTTAATAAATTTTGAAGTTAAATGATTGTATTTCCCATATAAGGCATCTGACATTACATAAATCGTATTAATTACCTGAGGCGAGGAGTGGTTATAAGTTTGCACTTGAGGAGAGGCATTCTTTTTCTACAATATCTGCTATTGTTGAGTATTCAAAGGGAGATGTTCAGTGTATTATTAAACGATATAAGGATAAGTATGGGCTAGGACTGGTAGACCATCAAAACTGAACGAGCGACAATTGAGAAGAAAAATGAAGACCAGCTAATCAAAGAGTTCAATAAAAAATGATTTTACACATGAGGGCATTATTCTAGGTTTATCCGATAATTAGACGAACGCAACAATATTAATATAAGAGCGTACGGTATAGCCGTTACGATAGTCGTTATATCTTGATCCCGCTACTGCACAAAGATCCACCATTTTAACCCATCTGGTATAGTTAACGTTTACGCGTTTTGATATACCGTATACACTATTTCTCTGTGCACTTTGGTTAATAGCCGGCTCACTCACAACAATCTCGGGCTTCCCCTAAAAAGTTTGTCAAAAAAAATTATTTATGAGCCCCATTGTTCACTTTGTTTGAACGATGGTAATTTTTTGATAGCAGAAAATTCAAAGATTAACTTGCGCGTTTATAGCTGCGCCAAGTAAAGGCCGCATACGCCAAAGCATGGGTCTAGTACAGATGAGGAAGTCGGTATGTAAGCTATTCGTTCGCTGTGTACTTGTCGTTATACACGATTTGGGAATTGCCATTCCCTATATGATTGCTATTTTCAGGTTGAATGTCGAAATCCGCGTTTAGTCATTACAAAAGCAGACAAATTATACACGATTTGAATCGTAAGTCACGTGTAGAGGTGGGCATGCTCAGACAAAGTGAGCATTTGACATCACTCAAGGGATCAAGCTCTAAACATTTTATTTTCAGCAATTCATCAGGACAACTGCAAAGAAATAATTAATCTTTGGTAATCATGACCATTCCTACTTTAATGGGCCTGATTCATTATAAGAAAGGGTTCTCCTGGTCCGCAGTTTTTGTCAGCTTTCCGTGGAATATAAACCACACCTCAATCGAACACGAAAGACGACCTACAGATAAATACCGCAACCCTGGAACGAAAAAAGGAACAGTGGGGGATCTCCTAATAACAAACCGACGAAAACATCACTTTGCACACGAGGAAGTTGGGATAGACTCTCCAATTCGACAAGCAAAGCCTGTGGAGTGTGCCATCAGATCAATTACGAAACCGACGATTTTATCGCGTTTCTAGAAAGCGTTAATAACTTTGATTATAGAGTATCACAGCATATAGCTGAAGCGTTCGGAAGGTACATCGAAAACCCGACGCGAGATAGTACTAAACAATTGTGTGTTCCTCAATACCCAGTCTCCAAGATATATTATTAGTGTATAATCACGTGCGCGAAGTACAACTAAATTTCAACGCTCTTCCATCATGAAAGTCTAATTAATGCGTCCCCAATTTTTTTATATTCATATTTCATTCAATATCGATATGTACCTGTTCCTATGCTCTGCCATAAAACAGGCCCCGCTGCACAAGGGATGCGTTAGAGCTGTATTCCAAGATAATGACGACGAGAAGAAACAGTTGGTGAAGAGACGGAGACGGAACTCTGCCACTGGGAATGAACGAAGTTGTCTTACGACACTTACCGAGGACGAGATGCCCTGCCGCTTATCCTCAACACTAGCGTTTGGCACGGCGTCGTAGCCAACATCGGGGTCAGCGATGACACAACCCTTTTCCGTAAATACTGGCACTAGAACCGCAAGTACTTACCAAGTATATGGAGCCGGCCAAGTGAGCAATGCGACAAATGATGGAACGGCTGCCACCCGCAACGCATAAAAAACAATTAGTTCGTAATCGTTGCCACTCGCGACGCATAAAAAAAATAGTTTGTAATCGTTGCCACCCAAGCGTACGAAAGAAAAGATGACGATTTCAGCATCAAGGAAATGATTGATATCATTGTTAAAGAAAAACCAAGCAAGATGAAGAAGGTGACGAGCAATGCGGCAAATGATGTACTTACCAAGTATATGGAGCCGACCAAGCAAGATGAAGACGGTGACGGGCTGCGTACTTACTAAATATATAGAACCAACAAAAAAAGATGAAGAAGGTGACGAGCAATGTGACAAATGATGGAACGGTACATCGTACTTACCGGCCAAACAAGATGAAGAAGGTGACAAGCAATGCGACAAATGATGAGCAGAATGGAGAGTTTAATTGCGAATGTTTCAGCAAATAGTGATAATGTACTTTGTACAGACATTTTATTAGAAAGTTTCTTCATTACTGTATTTACATAAATAATTGCTAAAACCAAATAAATTATATACTCAATACGTCAACGTCTGAAAACCAAGAATTGATTGGATTGAATATTTGCAATCATAAGTCGACTATTATATCGAGGACCATATCTTGAAGTATAATAGCAATCTGAATATTGCAAAGTTTCTCCCTACAAGACAATTATTACACATACAACATTGTATGTAATATACAAAATATAGCCAAAAATTCGTATTTGAAAATTGGCTGAAATTAATTAAATAATATGTAAAAGTGGAGGTTGATATGAGGTAGACCTACTCACGCGTCACTGTGAATCCATAAGTCTCGTCCAACATAAAGATCACTCATGACTTTGGATACACTTCTCTGATCAGTGGCTCTTGTAGATTTCATTTCAACGCGAAACAAGAGCTATTTGTTTTCCAATGATAGATCGTATTGCGGCTTTCCATGAATTGTCTATTAAAAATGGGATTAGTCAAGTGCTATTTGTAACTAGCAGGAGATTCGACAAAGCAGAAATTACCAGGCAACTTGACTAAGTTGACGTTTTATGGAATCACAAAACGCTATCCTGTCCCCCGAAGGAAGATTATCATCATAAGATGTTCCATTGGCGGTCAAGCGCAATAATCCGTTTACAGTGCCTAATAAAACATATTAATATATGTTAATAAGCAATTATAGAGCTTATTCGCCACGTAAAATTGGTATTCCTCGTAATTCACCAGCATAAACATCCTCTGAATCTTTTGTTATCATTAATAATATTACAAGATAGTTACTGCATGCATTACCAACTAACTTGTGTTGAAATACCAGGAATTTTGCAAGCACTTCACCGAATTGTTTACTTTTCACAGAGTTACTGTCGGCAATGACGTAGTAATCGGCATATTGACTGAACGTGCTGTCCAAAACTTGGATGAACACAGTGTTATTGTTATTATAGAAATTTTGCCAACTGATGGAACGGCGGGAATGTGGGATAATATAAATTGTCTTTGTATCAACCGGAATTGTCTCCCCAATCTTGTGTTAATTGTCGTAATCACTAGAAGCAGATTACGCGAATCAGTCATTGATACTACAAATAAGTTACCCGCTATATTGTTACTTACCGTCGGGCATCAATTTCAGTATATCAGTCAAAACTAGACTCCACGTCCTTTAGACGCCTCACTAACTGTCCATACAGAGTTACTTGGAGAAGCCATACTCTATCGGGTCAGCAGGGATATTGACTATTATCGTACAGATCGATCGTGAGCCGATCAGAAAAGGTATTATTCGCAATAGGTATCCACCGTAGGGTATTAAAATCTCATCACTCCATTGCAAGAATGAAGCCGAGATTCCCTACCCAATTAGACATATTTCCCGTTTTTCAAGTCACACAGAATGTAGATGTGACACGCACAATGATCAAAATTAGACACGAGCTACCTTATTATTATCAGAACCCTTTCTCATCGAATTTAAATAATTCCTCACATGTATCTTCGGATTGATCGCTCTCAGGGAAAGCCTTGAGAAAAACATTATCTCTTACATCAAAAACCTGCCACAATCGTCATAGACACTATTTCCAACTTTTATGTCTTGTTACCCCAACAATGAGCATCTTCACCCAATTCATGCAATGCAACATAAGCGATCTTTCAACAAGAACAATAATATGTGGGGTCTTCGTCAGGACTTTTATTCTATAGTTAAGTCGTTATTCCATAGGGATGGGTGCGGTATTAATCTCATCTATTATCTCTATCGAATAACTTGTATATATATATTATGTATGTTAATACGTATATTGTGCTTAGCGTGATTCCTGCCCAATTTCGTTTCGGAATATTAATTGTTGTTATTAAAGTGTTCCCTGCTACCAAGATTATATAATGTCCCAAGCAATCTTCATAACGTCTTCATAAAGTCTTCATAACGTCTTCAAGTGGTGGGTATGGGGGGAGGGGTGTTGTATGAGTCGATTAAATTGATATGCCGTTATATGATTTGTTGAATCGCGTTGATAGAAGTATGGCATCATAAACCTTTCGAGATGATAGACAGTGACTCGTTCGGTTTGGTGATGTTAAGTCATTAAGGAGTGGCGGGGGTGAAGGCAGTGGGAGAGCGAAGGGAGTGAAAGAGGTAAAGGGATGTGAAGCTGGTGGGAAGTGAAGGTGGAGAAGACATCATAGCATCGCATTCTGATGCTTCATTCGTCGTTAAGGAATGTAAAACCTTCCCGATGATAATGTGATAGAACATGACAATATGTATATATCTTTGCCTATGCCGACATATCGATAGTATTTACCACGCAGACCTACAAGATTATTCATGTTACGTAGAAGTGATCCTATTAGAAATAAATTAAATTATGTATAATCCACTATATTCTTCTATTTCGATTGCACAATGACAACAACGTATAGCTTTAAACTATATGGTTTCTCTCTATCGTTTTTCTAACCGGTCATATTCCTGATCCGCTCCTTTCTCGTTATCGATTTACTTTGCTCTAGTTCGATTGTCATAGACAAAGTGTGGAGTAACCTACACGGTGTGCTTGATGTAGAGGTAGATTGTCACATACTTGATGAAGAGCAATCCGATGCATGAAAAGATGGAGTATTTAAGTGTATTCGACGTGTGGCATGCGAGGTTGCGTGAGTGTCTTAACAGTTACAATCAACGTGATGGTGATAGTCGTTTCTCGTCTAAAGAAGCCTGTATAATGATCGTGTTCTCACGTTCAATTCACAGCGGGATAAGCGAATGCACCATTCACAGTTGGAGTTGACACGCTGTCGTGTTTAAGTTCTCATAACAAGGATGAATGATAGAACGTTGGAATAAGGAATTCTATAAAAAAAGTTTATGGAAGAGAAGCGTTGTACAAGAAGCACATGGTCAACACGTTGTGTTAAGTTCGTAGCCTAGGAAAAGGTTATGGAAGAGAAGCGGTTATTCTTACGGTGGGAATTCTTTCATCCATGTATTAGGACTATCGAACGGAAAGAACACGTCATGTTTAAGTTCGTTGGAATAGGAAGTCTAGGAAAAGATTAAGTAGATGTTTACGGAAAAGAATGTTACAACGAGAATTCTGATGCACAGAACGTAAAATACAGATAATTTGGTTGGTCCGTGTATTACTGTGGAACGGGGTTTAGAAGGCGCGTTTAAAGAAGAGCTAACGACAAAATGGACATTGCGACAGCGCTGTATCGTATTACATCATCATGTCTTATCTCCTTTAATAGAAGTGATCGTTAGTCCCGGTTCAGATCAGATGTTGAGACATTATCCAATATCCCTGTTAGGACCCATTCTGGGGTTTGACCCGTTCTGAGAACGGGTCAAATCATGTAGTTTATTGGTGCAAGAGAATAAACGAAACGGGTCAACCACATTATCATGGTCGTACGGCGGCATTATTATCATGGTCGTACAGCGGCATTGTTAGCATGATGATAAGGACGCAGGATTTAATAAGAATGTGCTCAATGCTATTCTCCTTAACAAAAGACAAAAATATGTCTCCTCGGCCATATAACACCAAGGACAAAATATACTCTCCACCTAAAGACATTTTAAACCGTCCTTTTATTAAATGCGCACTAACAAGATATACTCCAAGTATCATCATGCATGCGCCTGCTCTTTCAATAAACTACACTCTCGGGGGGCATTATAGGGTATTAGAGATTATTACTGTCCTCTCTTTGCCCACCCTCCCCATAAACTTACCCAAGGCCCAAGAATACGGCAATATCCCACTCAGCAGGATGACAGAGCTGGTGGTGAAGAAAAGGATGAGGCCTTTTACCTCGCGGTCGAGGAAAAGAAAGAAAATTTTGAAGCCTTTTTACCTCGCGGTCGAGGAAAAGAAGAAAAGGTCGAAACCTTTTACCTCGTCAACCGAGGAAAAGAAAAAATCGATGCCGCGGTTTTACTCAGTTGAAGCCTGCTCACTGAGAAGAAGATAAAGGACTCTGGTCAGGTTAACCATATGCCTGCCAAGAAAAATATGGTTTTATAAAAGCGTGACGGGAAGTTTCCCGGGCGGCCGGGTTGTTATTGTAGTTGGTTTTTATTTAGTATCAACAGTTCGAAATTTTATTTATTTTATAGATATTATTGATAAGCCAAACACGTCAAATGGCTTATCAATAGGGGGGCGGGTGTTTGTCTTGTTCTTTTCGTTATTTTCTTTTACATACTGTTCCAGTAGATCATTCTTCTTCTATTTCTTATTCATGTATTTCTAATTGGCACTTCAAACTTAATCACATACTGTCAATAAAGATATCAATCTTTGGTATTTAATCGAATGAATAGCGATGAACAGTATACGATTATGATGATTTACTCCTATTCGGGTTTGCTTAACATATTGTATATGCAAAAAAGGAAATTGGTGAAAGGGGAGATGGATATTTAATGAAGGGACCAAATTTGCCAGCACTCACTTCTTTATTCTTCTCTAAAAACCTTCTCATATATTAAATCACATGATATTCAGTTTTATTGATTACATATACATCGACTTTCAAACTAACTGTTGAGAAACTATAGTTCTGTTGAGAGGTCTTTCCCACTTTCCATTTTGGTGACCTTTGTTTAATTATAAGTAGGAGAACAACTCTCCAGCTTTTCAGTTACCTGATCGCACTCCAGAGATGGTAAAAGCTAGTTGGGAGGAAATGCAAGAAGAAAAAGAACGTATCCGGGCTCGAATGTCAGTAGCGCGTCTGATTAACTGACGTTACTATCGCTACTATTACAAAAGAGAACCTTTGTTCTCTATATTAATATGCTCTCGACACCGAACTCGCCGGCTGTTAGACCAGCACCCAATCTATTCTATTGCGGATAAATTACCAGCGTCGAACGATACGCAGAAAGAGCCGTACCTAAAGTTCTCTTCCTCGCCTTTCCACCGCCGGACACCGTACGATCAATAATATCAGCCCAGGCGCCTTCTCCCAAGCCATTCACACTCGCTCTCTCAATAGAGGGCTACCAAAGTCACTACGGCGACCGCTCATGTCTCTCGCCAGACCCGGCGGGCTCTATACAGTCATGGATGCTGAGAACGTTGGCGGATGCAAAACGATCCCATTTTTAATTTATTATTAATGGGGATAAATAACGTACCAGTGTTGTAAATTGACGCTGGCGCGACCTGAATAGAGAGATGGGGAGGTGTGATCTGAATGGAGATCCACACGTGGAAGGAGAACAGGTGTATTAAACGAGGAGTAAGCAGACGCTATAGTTAGTTCAGTATTATTCTCATAGATCACAGCATAGCGATTGTTCTTCTTCTCTACTGTGAGGGAGTTGCCCTCATTTGTAATCTTCAAATAATAATAAAGTCATTTTGCATCGATAAAATACACACTCACCCAATATGTTAGAATGATTGTACGTACTGTGGAAGCTCCGGTTATTAAAAAGCTAAGGGATCACAACCTTCCAAAGAGCAGATTTTCACATTATTGTTATTGTTTGGTCAATGCCTCTAAAGTCTCGTGCAGGCTCATCCTATAAGAATTACAATTAATAAGTCACCATCGCCAGTAAATATCCCTGTGCCTAATCTCGGTTGAAAGATGCACAAAGCATTGTTGATTATATTATGTACCGAAAATTGGAAGGTCGGTTCCTTCATATACTTCAATTGTCTTCCATAAACAGGCAACCGCATAGTTCAGATTGTACGTGGGTCTTTTCGCAGCCTCTTAATCGCATATTTGAGTAGCTTTTACATGTTACAGAATAAAACAATTGTTACTATCAGAAATGACATTTGAGTTGACCAGATGTGTCAGGTGTAGTATCGTTACGTGAAGTTTTCTGTATCTTGTTGCAAATGTTTCTAATATGGTCGGCATTGGACTTGGAGTTACACACCTAATTCCATACCCCACAGTTATCTTCTTATTCCAATTCAGCTAAACCCTTCTTTTCGATTCCATCATTCTTCTCAGACCTGTCAGATCACAGTAGATGAGAAGGTAAACCCGAATTCATATTCGTGGAAAGAACTTGGCGCTTCAGTATTCCTTTAATAACGTAGGCAAATTAAATACATAGCCTTGCCTTTGCCTAATCCGTGCCTTCTAAGCGCAATGCTCGTTTTACACCATCTTCCATCTCTTATCACCTTGTATCTGAATGTAACTGACGCTTTCGATTACAAGGGACATCATATCATCATATTCAGCGTGATCGATGACTGAGTAAAGTATTCATATAATACAGCTGTTCGAATATATTTTTCGGTTTTGTATCTCGTCAGCCTGGATGAGGGTGACCCATTTTGTAGCTTAGTGGTAACATTTTAAGGAATAAAGCTTTTTTGTTTATCGAGCACTTACTATCTTGCTTTCCCGTTGACGCCCATGGATTATTCTCGAGGCCAGACGATAGTGCGCTAATCGGATGCGGTTGTGGCTATGATAACTGTGTCTTACTTGCAGCAGTTTCTAGCGTATCCTATCCCATCATCCGAGTCTTTCCTCGATGATTTGTAACGCTAGATCTCCACGATTGTTGCAATACGAGTCCTCCTTGCAAGATTTTTGATGATTCGCGCTAGATATTAGTATCACACCCACGTTTGTTTTCTTCTAGATGTTCCGATACTAAAACAAGAACTCTTACCACGATGCAGTCTGTTGCTACAAGCGAGCGCGTTTTTACTGAAAATCAGTTTGACAAACCGTTTCTATAAATTCATCTTGAAGAATTTATGCTTCTGAAACGGATTAACCGCTTTCTTTAACGTGGGACGTAAAGCGAAGCCTGACAAAAGCCTAATGATGCATAATACAATGTTCGAATAAGGATTCAATATTTGCGGATGATTGCGATTCTAAAACCGCAATCTCTGTACTTTAACGTATTTGCTCGATTAAGCCAGTCCCTTCTTGAAAGCCCGTATAGAGTACAGAATCACCGCAATCTCGCCGAGCAACATATATTTTTACCTGGCTGTCTACCATAAACTCGATGCATGCGTTTTTCCATTATTCGAAAGCATGTAGCATTAAGGATTTTCTCCGTCCCCATCTTTTATGTGACCTATTCCCATCGTGGGAATAAAACGTTTTAGGCGAAATCGCTACGTTGCGAGAGTATTAGTATTAAATTTTCGGGCAATCATAATGACATCGAACTGTTTAATTACGATATTGATATGTTACATGATACTTTATTTACAACATTGAAATGATATTTACAAAATAAAAACCTATCACTATAACTATAACTATGTGCGTATATATATCAGTGTTCTAACGTGTAGAGCACCGGCCGCGAACCACCATCGTTGTCCGCAGCCACCACCACCATTGTCCGGAGGGGCCACACCATTGTCCATAGCCGGAGCCACCACCAACATTGTCCCTAACCCCATCATTGCCCAACCCCAAAAAGAGACCATAAATATCCGACATGTATTTTCATGCCAGAAAGGCTGAGAAAGAGGGGGGACCAGCGCCTAACAGCACTAGTAGACCCTGTTTGTCTACTCTTGGTAGTATGGCCTCCCATCGATTATCTCTCGAAGATGAATCGAAGGGAAGCATCTGCTTTCCGTCTTCCAGCGGGGCGGGGAGGAACGGTATCTTCTCCGCTTTCCCTCTCTCCATTCCTCCATCGTTCTTACAGGTATGGGGGGACTTATCAGCTTTTGCAGTCCCCCTTCGGTATTGTCGGTGGCTTCGCAGGGGGATGTATTGAGCGTCCCCTTTTCTTCTTCTTTCACTGCCGCTGCCGCCGTAACGTTTCAACAATTTTTTATCCTTCTTTTGCCGTTTCTGACGAAGGTTGAGAGGAAACAATGATAATAACGTTGGGTATTTTTGGGCAGTATTCATGGACTTTAGTCTCAAAGTTCTAAAGAACTACTGATTGCGCCAGATTATCCGTATTAATATGAGAATGTGAACCTTCGCATCATTACTTTATTTGTATAAACAATGATAACGGAGAGCAAATCTGAGTTACACCAAAATTTATACTACCTGCATGAATGCGCTTCTTCTGTGTGATACATATTCTGCTAGTTTAATTTCTACTTTTCTGTACCGTGTACTACTATATTAATACTTCTGTACCGTGTACTACTATATTAATACATAGAAGGGTTAGATCGATCAGTCTATATCACGTGATTTGATGTGAACTTTACTGGTGGTACGACAATAAAACGAAATTTGGGGTCCTAAATCCCAGAAAATTGCCCCAAAAAATTTAAATATGTAGAATCATATTATCAACCCCGCCCTTTATAAAAAGTCTCAACTTTAATACCATACCCCGTTGATTTCACTATCAACATAATCAGATTTTATTCTTAATAATAATACGTGTACCTCACTCATATCAAATTAAACTTCTGTCTCTGCATAATACAATTGAGACCGAAGAAGGTAATAAAGATAAATGTCATCGGTTTCAAATAAAACGGCATTAGATCAAATGCTCTATATTGTGGAATAAAGATTTAAAACGTCGAATAAAAAAAAGCATATCGATTCTCTAAGACAAGCTATTTTGCAGATAGCTGTATAGTTAACAAACACAGCGATTTATTAAACGCGAATTATATAAACACGTGATTATCGATAAGTCGCCATCGCGCTGTACAAAAACTGAAAGCGTTTCCTAACTTTGGCATGATTACTCCTCCATGGACAGTATTCTGGTCAACATTCTCACTCCGTGTGCACGCCTCGTAAAATCCGGTCCAAACTTTCTATTTCGCTTATCATTAAGCGTGTTTTTGCAGTTATTTTTTTCTGACTTCCGATTTGGTTCGAAAAGTTCTCCAATTTGGACACGCAAATCAAAAGAAATCATTGGTTCAGTAATTGACGGACGTATTGGGAGAAGAGGTTTGTCGATCGGCTTGTATGATAGTGCGCTGGGTGTGGGAATGATGGTTCCGTATCAAATGAAGACTTTGATAACTTAGATTAGAGGGAATGGGATTGGAAAAGAAATACGAGTTTTGGAAAGGTTGTAAAAGGATGCTTTGTCTAATATATAATTTTAAAGAAAATGAGGATTGGAAGAGCAAGAGGAAGATTTAGAAAGAACATAGAGAAAGGATTTGTATCTCATTTTTTAAGATAAATAATTGGTCGCTATACAGTATATCAATGTTTAGATAATAAAACAATTCGTGCACTTGTAGCTGTGCGCTGAAGGGAAAGATCATGTTAACATTTAAAAGACAATTCTGCTCACTGATCAGCAATGTGCTGCGAGTTAAACGCAATCTTTTACATTAATATCACCGTTTGAATGACAATTTTCTAAATGCACTTCTATCCGAGAACCTATTAACTATTACTTTGTACAACCGGTTAACAAGCATACAAATTGTGCTTTCCACAAACGTCGAACAATAGATTATTTGCTGTTTCTTGTTATGCCGTTATCAATGATTAGGTCAATTCAAGAGACGATATCTGCAGTACTTCTCAAACGCCTTACAGTATCTACAAAAAATTGCGTCATGCCGTAGATTAGAGCGAACGACTGTCTTCTACTGCGAGAGCCGAAATATGGGGGGGGGGGGGGTTTCGAGTCAGGAAAACGAGAGCTTTAATCGAGTTCATTTTAATAGGAATGCTGTTCGTAGAGTCGGGTCTGTCAATTTCTCATGTTTTATTAGTTCAAAATCTTTGGTATATATTTTCATACATGACAATTCATGGTATGCTTCCTGTTTATCTTTTACCCATCACTATGGCATCATTACCATGATTATGAACCCACACGCTCACTCCGAGTCCTACACGTAAGTATAATAGTCCGCTTTGTAACCTGAAATTATTGTATCATTGTTGGCATACATTCTCATTCCTGTCTTTCGCTCTGTTCTTTGCATAAGCGTATTTCAGTCATCGTTTCCACACTCAACATATCCGCAATACTAGTAAGGCTCGATCCCAACTTGGTTTGTTTCTAACCGTTGTCGATAATTCTGACAGGGTATTATTCGTAAGATTGTCCATCGACCATCTGAACACAACATTCGCCGTCCAATGGACGGATCAACTTGTCTTCCCACGCGACCGGTCGGGTCCAGTTTGAGAATTCGATGTGCTTGGGCGCGAGGTGGTATGAGAAATGCAAGATGACCAAGCTGAAGCGGATGAGATGGAAACTGAGGGGGCATGCGTTGTCAAAACTGTCTGACATTGTGTGGGTGTCCGGATTTGCGTTGAGACTGATCCGGCTTCATTAGACAGTCTTTTAATAGTCTTGCAATACTCCGTATGTAGCAGTAATAGTCTCGCGCAGCAACCTTGGCTATTCGATGACATACTATAAATGACAATGTGATTGTCAAAATTAGATAGATATCACGCGAGCGGCGCGTTTGGGTTCGGTAAGGTTTTATCCATAATGGACGAGATGACGTGAAATGTCCGAATTGTCAAGTGATGACTTTCGAATCGTTTCCAATGGCACTCATTGGCTGCCCACATGTATGAACACATCGGACTGTAAAGTTAGAAGAAATTTCATATCATCCGTGTCGTGTCGTTCGATCTTCCTTGCTTGTGGTGGTGTACTAGAAAGCGGAGATTTAATTTTTGTTCTGTCTCCTTAGTACTGGCATAACGTACCTTTTTGACAAGACCTAATCAAGAACGTCGACTAGCTGTTTCCATATATTTATTTACAAAGCATTCATCAGGTACGTCTACGAGAAGAGAATTGTACATCTAATTCTTCCTCATAGAAAACCTTGAGACGAGCTTTGATGTAATCTCTCGGTTCTTCACAATCAACAGGTATGTAATATTTCGATAACCAGTTCGAGAATAAAATCGGTCGACCCAATGCTTCGTCTTGATTGAGGCTGGGGAAGTGCTTTATGGCAATAGAATCGATGTTGTCATCAGTCCATTTGCGTTCTTCGGTAACAAAACGATCTTGGAACAAGCGCAAAGCTTCATGGCCCAAATACGAACAAGACCCTCCACTGAGAGAGATTCCATCGGTTTAATAGATTCAAAGATAACGCATCAACTCACGAGGTGAGTATATGTAGTGTGCTTGTATGTCTGGTGTAAACCTTTTCTGTGACATAAGATATAAATCAACCATAGCAGCTGTGAGCGGTTCAGCGTATGCACGTAGCGATGGAACAACCTTCAACATAGCACGCGAGAATGTGCCGTAAATCTGATTGAGAGATATTTCACCAGAAAATTGTTATAAATCATTGGCATGCTAACAACTTCCTCGCTGAACCAAACCATACCACAGCGACTGACCGTCGCCAGAGTTGCATATTTAAACATTTCAACTTCGAATATAATACGAACGTTACCAGGTAGACTAAGCCGCTCTCCGTTTGGCAAAGTAAGCAAACGATTGTCGCCCAGTACACTGTTCAAGTTCTCGACCCATTCGGGATCCACATCACCATCAAAGATAATCCAATGCCGCTTGCTGCTTTCGCCACGTACATTATCAATAATCTTACGAAGTATATGAGTGAACAACCTGTCTGTCCATTCACGAGTGGTTTGATCCAAGGTACCATACAGAGAGTCCTTGGACACAGCTTTCGGATCAATCACATAGGTATACCTGAACTCGTTCCAAGGCGTTGCCAAACCATTGATTTGCCAGAACCACCACCATCAGACCATGGTGAATGTTTTGAATTTGATAAAGTTGAAGAACCTTCTCCGTCCAAAGCTTCCCATCAATGAGGCGGCGTTCGCCACAAACTTTAATAATTTCTTCTTTGAGTTTCTCGAGGCGACTGGTGCATATTCGACTCCAGGGAAGACGCCCGCAACCAGACTAGATAGAAAGGATGATACGATTAGCCTCCATGAATGACAAATATAATTACTACCAATAAAAATTCATAACAATACCTAGTCAACAGTGGAATATCTTGGCGACCAGTTTAGGTACAATCGTTTCACGAATACTTTGAATCAAAATTTCTTGTTCGGTAACGGGTTCGGAAAGTTTCTGATGCTCGTCTTCTGTCTTCGTTCCTTCTTGAATCATTTTTCGAAGATTATGCAGTCGCTCACATTTCAGATTACCGGCGCTTACGAGTACGCGCGAAGGCCAAAGTCATAATGAGATCGAGGAGACAGTTGCTCGGCGCACAGATTAAAGAGAGGAACGACTTTGGAAGCAAGAATTTCAGCAGTACGGAAGCCTTGTGAATACAACATCACTTGAGTTCACGATCTGGTTTCGTCATGGCAATGCTTCTGAATAACTTCTTTAAATTATCGGGTAGGTTAGAACGGCCAGCATATCCAGGATTCATGGTAATAAAGATACCTGTGATTTAAGGAGAGCAGAGATAAGATTCTAAAAACTGACATAGAACATTCTGTCGCATAACTATTATTATGCTTACCAGTATTAGTATTGACTTTCAGACTCTTTCCTACAATCTCGATTTCTGTATTTGGATTATCTTTAGCAACTTTGAGACCAAGCTGAATAATCTGCACTTGCTGTGATACAGCCGACAAAATTCTTTCTTCAAGTCGATTAAATTCATCGAAACAACCCCATGCTCCGACTTGGCATAGATACGACCCATAGCTTGAAAGTCGAAATTTTCATCACAACAAAGTACCAGCACAAACCGACCAAGTTAAACACCCAATGCTTTAACGGATTCTATCTTGCCAGTATCAGCGGGTCCGAATGGTGATCCACCCAGGCGACCCTCTAAAGCTTGTGTGAGCGTGAGGTGACATCTATCAGTCAGAGGAGTCTGCACAAGACGATTTGGTATTCGTATCCATAATAGAACTGAGCGTTAGCAATGTTAATGACCAATCGTACTAATGGGTCTTCTGCGTCTTTGTTGAAGTAGAATCTCATCTGGTATAGCCATTCAAAGTCCTTCGGGCCTGAGACTTTGTTGCGAATTAATTGACGAGCAAGTCACGCTGATGAACAAGTTCAGTGATAAGATGTTCGCATTTCTTTCGCTTAGTAGGAGGCAAATCTTGTAACACAGTGTCAGCCAAAACCTCAAGTCCGCGGAGAACGTATCCTATAGCGTCATTTATCGGAGTCTGGTCATTCTGATCACCTTCAGACATGGTCGTAAGAGCTTTGTCAACCGATAGTGTCCAAATAATTTGTACGGCCACTACAACCAGCTGAGCCGGCCGGATATTTGTCGATCTAATTCAAGAAAAAACCAGTATCCAATTCATCTGCAAGATAAAATGTATTCATCTCGGGGACGGCATCCGCTAGCAAAAGCGCCAGCGAGACCTTCATTTCTTTCTCTATCATCGTCAACCAGTCGTTGATCTTTGGATTCTCTTTGATAGATATAGGATTCTTAAAATATACTTCTTCTCCTTCGCGAGATGCCATGCCAGAAATCATGGTATTATCTTCGGTTAAGATAATGTTTGACACACCAGCAAACATTTTCTTGAAATGCTTTTGAATACGAACAACGTCTTTTGAGTTACTAATGATCTCGAGTAAATCTTCATCACCGACAAAATAGAAACGTGGATACGTATGCATTGGTGCAGAACGATAACCATCACAAGAGAAATTCTCTCCGCAAGTAGTATGTTCTTAACAGCCAATTTGTCGAGCTTTAAAATCTCGGAACGTCCACTCGCGCGTCAATTAATTTGAATGGAGCCAAAAACTGCTCGACTTCCATAAGCGTCCTTCTAGATTAAGCGCTCGTCAGAATGGTCATCAATTCTGTTAATTACGTTCCTCAAATCATCTGATCCAATTGTCAAGTCAAGCCAATAAATTGCGAGCAGCAGCGGCTATCTCTTCAATTATCATTTCTGATTTCTTTGAATCTTTTCACGGTCTTGTTTCTGTTTCTAGGCCGGAAGCATCATTCTTCTCGCTATCCGGGTCGGAGGTTCGAGTCCTCCACAAGACAATTGACTGCTAAAATCTTCAATACGTCTATCAGATATTGCAATCACTCTACCGATTTGACCAGATTGTGGGAAGGCTTTCATTCATGCCCCTTTGACATTAATTCAAGTTCTCCTATATCTTTAGCCGCTGCTGCATAAATTGAACATTCTCAATGAATTAAATGGATTGATCTCTTCTTCAGCAATATTCGAGGATTGAATAGATGGTGGAGTGAGTAGATGGGCGCGTACCTTTATGATCACTTGAAGCAAGCATGGGGTCTTCAAAAAGTCAATACCAAATTGGAAAGCATGCGCTAGTTCTGGCCTGGCAGTTCTAAATAAAGAGGCATGGTGCCAAAAATTGCTTGTTTAATAGTCCTTATCATTTCTTCGTTTAATATTAACAGGTACCTGATCGTTGATGATGGATAAAGGATTTCATAATAGTTCGTGAAAGAAATATTAACACCTTTGTTAGAAGTTTGAAGTTGATGAATGCAAAGACATTAGACAATTTTTTTAGCCAACAACAGTAATACACATATATCACGTGCAACCAATAAAATGATCATTAATTAAGTTACGATATTAATTATAATTATAATTTATTGACATGTAAATAGTAAACATTTTTAAACAAGAATCGGTGCTTTCGAACTCTTGCAAACTATAAACTAACGTATCAGCATTACAATTCTAAGCATGCAGCAAGGGAGTCGTGTCGTTCGTTCCATTAAATAAGATTGATGTGGCAGGACCTACTCCGTTCCAATATCAATACGTCACGTTCTCCTCGGCAACTGTGTCTTTATATTTGAACTTACAGATAATCCAACCAATTGGTCAACGAATGCAGTCAAAGACATAATAGCAGAATGTATACCTCACATTATTGATAACAAGGAATCATGTAAACATTTTAGACAAGAATCGATGCTTTCGAACTCTTGCAAACCATAAACCAACGTATCAGCATTAAGCATGCAGCAAGGGAGTCGTCTTTTTTTCTCGGTCTTCTCTCCTCGGCAACTGTGTCTTCAATAAGCATTCGGCAACAAATGTCTTCCCACTGCCAGTATCCAATACGGCAATGATGTTATCTGTCTTGGCTCTTTCACATAACTCGAGTTGATATTTTCTGGGAGTAAGTTGGGTGGCTTCATCGAATTCGTGCGTCATTAGTTTCCTTGTGAATATATTGACTCGCATGACAGGTTTAAACTTCCCCGACGGAAAGGCTCGCCCCGTTTTGATACAAATAATAACAATACCGCAACAATCATTGGAACATCACGGCATCAAGACTGGAGTAGATAAGCAAAAAAGTTTATCAGTATGATTCTCAAAACAAAAGCAGTTTCACCACGAGTTGCATAAATGTACGGTGCATAGTGTACCGTTACGTTTTTTTTCTGTATTTATACATACGTTTCGATATTCATCTCACTTTTGTACTCCGGCCGCTGACTGATATTCAGAATAAATCAATAAAGTTAGTCCTTCATCTTGTGAAGTTACAATATTATGTGAATTAGATATGGTTGATGCCTTACATTGATTCAATACCAGATTACGTTTTCAACACATGAGTAATTCATGACTGGAGAATGTGCTAAAAATAAAGGATGTCAAAATTATGTCTGAACAGTGATGACGATGAGAAGATATTTCGCGAAAAAATCGTATACCATCATTCAAATATGCTAGACAATTTTCGGATACTCTTACTGGCGCTCGTAACATTGTTCTTAATAAACTGATCGTTATTGTTGGTGCATCAGTTTCAGGTCTCGGTAAGCTCCATATGTGATTCTGGTATGGTTATGTGGAGGTCAAATATCGATAGTGTCTGACAGTCCTTGTTGGGTAATCCTTTGATATCTCGAGACAGCCATTTCGGATATGATGTATGACATACACCACATCGTGTAAACCAACTCATTTTCTAATCGGGGGGAACCTGGTATTTAAAAGTGTGTTCTGGGCATGAAAATTAAAATAGAATATTTCGGTGCAAAACGAATTAGTATTGTTAGACAGACTTGAATGCTCCAAAAACGATCCATAGCCATGCGCCATTTCCATTGAATATATAACTGTTACTTCGATAATAATTGATTTACCATATAAATCCAGTAATAGAAAGACATCGGTTCTATATCCAACGTGCCATCAAACTCAGTCTAATACCGCACGAGTATCGGCATCAATTGTCGTCCACTACCTACTCAAAAGTCACGCGTCTGTTTATCGACTCAGATGGTTAAGCCAAGACTGTAATACGTGAAGAGTAATACATCGTCCACGGAGACCATCCCGTCCTTCTGCAGGCGGATAGTTAAGCATGTAGGTAGTTGTTAATTTCTAACAGCATATCCGAGTTCAAGACGCATAATTATTGGTGTAAAGAAGATGCATCGAAGTTCTAGGCCTGCGCATTCGTTGCTACCACTTTTAGATTGTATTTGGCCAACTGAGGGGAATAGTTATAAATGATTAATAATTCTTGTGTTAAACTACCGATAGCAATATTTTCCGCCTTATAAGAAAATATAACATGCCTGGACCATGGCCGTCATGGCCGTTCCGTACGCTATCATGAATAGCTCAGTCCAACATCCATCTGCACTATAAAATGTGAAGAGATACTTCCGATGTTTCCGAGGAGTGTAAAGATGTCTTCCCATTATAGTAGACATCCTCCCACACGGTCAGCCAAATAACCGATCTGACCTCGTAACCAATACGTTGTTCTCTGCAATATTAAAACAACAATAAATTAATGTGATGAGTGATAAAGTTATTGATTGTAATGCTCTAATATATAATTTCATTGAAACACCAAAGACACTCCAACGAGTTTTCTACTTACCCCTTGTTCGTTCACCTCACCCATGGCCATCGGATAAACCAACGGGTTTCTATTTGCAAGATGGCATTATCACGTCTTCTCTCGCTTCACCTACAGGTTTCTTGCGGTGGGGGTGAGGTGGAGCAGCTAGCTTTAGCCGGATAGCCATGGAAAAGCGTCCCGATCATCCATTTATCGACCGGCAAAAACTAAGCAATGAATATTTAACTAGTTGGATATAAATCCGCCATATGTCGTTTGTCGTAATTTAGTTATAAGGAAAAGTAGGATTGCGAAGATATGTAGATAATGTGTCCAAACCCATAGGATTTGAAATTACTAAAATAGATCAAACAATTAAAAATCAGTTTGAATAACATGAAGATGGAAACCATGAAATACCCCGAATTACTTTTCTTACTATGGATCCAATTCTGTATAGCACTGAATTCCCTAGCAGCTAGCATGGTTATATCTGTGTATAACATTGAACCATAGTTAGATTGAATAACATCTAAACGAATCGCTTTGTAATGCTCATCTTCACTTACACGGTTAATGCCATCATTGACGATCCGACATGCGATGCGCTCTCTTTAGAAATCTTTGGATAACCCTCATCCACAGACTCGAAACATCTCTGCCCCCAAAGTGTAATCAATCCCAACGTGAACTCAAGAATGTAAAACGTATTGTATAAATGCAATACTATGGAAAATGAAATAGGCGTTAAATCGATTGTAGCAAAGAGTAAGACGCATATCAAACGATAAATAATAAACATACACATTATGTCTTCTTTTAATAGTTATAATAGAGGCAATGGCAGCAGTTCCGAATATAGTGGCCAAGAATCCGCCAAATTCCTATGCAGCTGAAGATAGCCAAAGGTATGTTTATAGACAACATACTAGGAGAATAAATATGGGGAAATAAAGCTGTCATATTGGCTCAGACGGCTTAGTCGCGACAAATTTACGATTGCATATAGATCATGTGATCATGTGATCGTGGGGTATAGTAAATTTATCACAATTGCTGAAAGGGGATAACACGATGTTGCCTATAAGGATTAAGTCCTTTTCTATATGCATCCATATATCGGAAAGACTTTTGCGCATAACCACGAATTTGCTTTAAAGAAATTAGATCCAACGCCTCTGGTACTATCTTTTGTAACCCTCACCAAGTATAATCACAGCAGTTAGACTTGCTTCACGGAATGCGCAGGGGGTTTTTTTATATCGCGAGGAAACGCATTCTTATTGGTGATTGCGCAATTTTACATGATTTATGTCACATGTTTATGGTGCCAAATTCAGTCATTCATATGACGTTCAGTCTCTTGAATGACACAAATTTTAACAAAAAATTGTCTCATTGTCTGTTAATTGCAAGTTAAAGCTTGTCTGCAAAGTTGTCGCGACTAAGCGGTCCGAGCCAATAGGACGAAGATAAGCGACAATTAATATCGTTGACAACTAATCCAATAGACTGCAAATTGCCCGTAAAATATACCTTCAAGCCATTATTCCGATTCCGTGAGCTAACCTTCTCTGCCGATGAGTAGTCCTGATAACTAATGGCTGTCAAACCGCATATCCCAACGATATATAATTCGCGTCACAGAACATACAGTTGTGATTATGAAGTTGGCACTCTTCCTTCACTAATATGAAGTGTTAATAATATACGCGTCATTACAGATTAACTTAGTATAACCTTTTCCAATTCCACCATTAATCTCGCTACTTACCAAACCATACATTAAGCGTCCTACGGTCAAACCATGAATCTATATCACGATTGAGTCTTGTACTTGTTAATGGACTTTTGTGCGACTTTAAAATTACCATAACCGTTCACGCATGCATGCAACATACACTTTAATTTGTGTATCGAACCATCTTCCCTTACACTATTAAAAATAACATATTCCCATTCGGAGTAAAGAGCCACTTTCCTTCCGGTTTCATATTACATACATTGGACGTGTTGTATAATATACTATTAAATTATTAGATTAGCGCAATGAATTATTCGCATTATAGACGTAAATAGATCAACTATGACAAATAAATTCCGTTGTATATTTTATAACAGTGGGTCCTTATACAGCTTAACCTGAAAAGAATGCCTTAGTATTGTACAAATAAACTCCCTCTCAGTTACCCGTTTTTCATTTTTAACCGAGTTGTGTTCTACTACTACTATTACTACTACTACTACCACCACTACCACTAGGTTGCACCGAGTTACGGATCAAATGTCCGTCGTTCATACTTTGTTTAGACAAGTCGTTGTGTCAGCGTGCAGACAGACTAGTCCTATTTTGACAGCATTGATGTATCGTTATCAATCATCACTTGAAGGTTGATGACGGTATCAGGTACGTAATCATACTCAAATTCTCTAGAATAATTGCATAAACTACGCAGTATCGTTTAGGTGCAGAATTCCATCCATTTGAATATTGGTTTAAAATGTTTGATTCACACTCTATCGTAAATTTAGTTTCGATAACACTGGCCGCACAATCATACCTGTGATTTAGCAGTGACATGTCCTCAGAGCGAACACTCGCCTTGCTCAGCGAAAAGACGCACGCTAGGTTATCACAATTGCGTATGTATGGTGAAACAATATTATAAAATGGGTTTATCACATATTAATATATTCAATAATCTTATTACCCTATGTTTCCATCGATAATAACTGTTGGATATGCTATTGTCTATGGAATACAAGAAAACCGGTTACTCATAGAGAGAACATTTCAAATTAGGCTTGTTATTTCATTCTGCATCATACATGTTAACGCCCATTTTACAGAGTTGTGTGTTCGAATGTCTCACCACCGTAGAACACCGTAGCACAGATCCTGAGCTTTATTTTTACGACAGTTAAAGACACCAATGCACAATGACGATTGGCTGATAGGCATATCGCATCTTGTTGAGGCTTAGCCATGGAGGTATAGTCTTTACAGATGGTCATGATCAACATAAATAACGGTTACACTTGATCATGCACACATGCTTGCTATTCAACTTACAGCACTGACGAATAATGGGTGGCTTACATTCTGCATAAGCTATTGTTTGTCGCTTTTTCAAATGGAAGTTTGTAATCTACAAGATGCATTGTCTTAATTATAATTGACAAATAATGGGGCGGCCATAGGCTATTATTTGTCGTTCTCAAAAACGGAATCTAAGCATACTAATACATTCGTATTATAGTACTGTATATTTTAACAACGACGGAGTTTTGAATTTCAAACACGTATTTGTTTATTCATTGGCAAATGAGTTTCCCCTTCTAGCTACTGGTAGAATATCCGCAGTAAGCTATTTTTGTAATAAATAACTAGGTTTTAAACGCAGCGATACAAAAAAAAAGGGTCTCTGACTACCAAGAACATACCCTCTCCAAAATAAAATAAAATAAAATAAAAAAACAAAGATGATTAGACAGTTGTTGTTATTTTTGGCCTTTCTTTTGTACCGCATCGTAGGGGGTCCGTCACCCATAAAGGCACCGAAAGGCGGCGGTGGGTGTGATCTTGATTGTAGTTGGTTCGTATATGCAGTATAAGTTATCACAAAATTTCGCTCCTATTCACTCTTATTAGCCATAGTTTTTTTAGGCAATTGGAGTTGGAGATGGAGTTGGAGTCTATTTTATCCGACAGTGAGGACGACTCGTCTAGGTGAGACATTATCTGTCAAACTAACTTGCAAAGCATTATTCTCATTACTCACTGACGATATAATATCAAACATCAGCGATTCGGATGACGACGACGACGACGACGAAGTAATGCTTGGCTTTTTTATTTTTATCTTTTTTGGTTTTTTTCTTCTGGTGTCCGCGGTTTTGTTGTTTTTTAGTATAAATGTATTAAATGGGTCATTTAACGAATAACAAATAAGAGAAATTGCCTTTGGTGATCCGTAAACGTTGTGCATTTTTAACGACTGGGTTTAAAGGCCTATTGCACAATGATTAACAGATGGTAATATACATTGCATTGGCATCGTTTCAACAGGGTCTAGTGAATTAGAATACAACAGTAAATTGGTAATTATTGATTAAGCCCAGTAATGGTAAGATTATCATTAGCGTGTAAAATGCATTCTCTTTCACACTACACTAACAAAACCAGTGACATAAACTCAAACCAAAACCAATCGGACCTTTATCTTCTGAACCATGTTCCACACTGTCCAACAAATGGACTCAGTTATCAACATTACAATAAAAATTTCCCTTGTTGTTGCCGAGGTGAAGAGCTACGGAACCAATTCAAATGACGGTCCAGTTGGATCTAACTGCAGTATTATGTAACCGACATTAATCTGCAACGCTTACGATTTATGTCGTCAATCGTTACGCGGTATTGAAAAATCGCATACACGAGGTGTTAAACCAAAAGTTCAATTTTCTTTTCTTGTATCAAATTTATATATTATCTTATCCATATCTTATCACAGCTTTGATACTCATGTACGTGTCAGCCATAATGAAATATAATAAGCTCTTATTATTTTATCAAATCTATTGTTTCTACAAACGCTTCGCCTGAGACTATTTACTAATACCAATGCAATGGACTTTAAAACCGTACAATATTACCAAACCAATTCCTTGTCTTTGAAATAGACAACGTTTAGGACACACTGGTTGCAAACAACAGTATATACAGCACCTTGCAGTTTCAATATTTCAATAATATTTGATAAGCATGTGTGTATTGTATTGGAGAACTGTACATTAGATCACGCGTTTTATCCATTTGAGTATTCGTGATAACACGCTGACTGTGACTCTGAGAATTTTTGTTAATAGTAGCACATTATAAGGAAACTACGTCCTTCAGTCTTCAATGATTGTATACGTGTCCTTTGCGATTGCCATGTCTCGAGAATCCTGTTTATCTTGCTCGAATGTGTAATTGTTTGATAGCTTCACGTAGTATTCGAGCGTGACATCTTTTAAAAGTGAATAAGCATGACAATTAATGGAATCTCTACAAGGTATCCAGAGATAGTAGTAACACGCTATTAGGTGATGGACTCTTCTTCGACAATTGTCGCAAAGTAACCGAGAATACGAATATAGGTAATTGTTCCATACAGCTGGTCAGGAACGTATCGCACGCTTTGCCACAAGAAAGTAACACGCGTTCACAGACTAACTTTACAAATTAATCGATGGACTTTTCCTCAACGACCGGGATAGAGTTGTTTATTTATGAGGATCGCAACAGATTCGTCAATGTGCGTGACATGTAATAATGTGTCTAATAATATTATTATTATAAGTTCTATGATTCTACAATTTTATTTATAGGATTGGCATTGGAAGTAAAATATAACTTATGAATGTTACCCTGTATATTATAGAAGTGCATGTGTTAGTTACCAGTGATGCCACTGCTATTGCCATTAGCATTACTATTTTCTATTTCAAATGTTCAAATTTTAAAGTATTCTCATAATGCCTAAGCGTGGAGTATCACAATAACGTGCACTCTGATTAGCAATATCATTGATCTTTGCTACCTCATGTCACCCACCAATGTCAAAAATCAAGGGCTAACACATATTAGTCTTCAAAGTCCTTTTTAGACAACCACATAACCTGTCCATATACCGGCCAGATAGTAATTTTTACAACAAAGCCATCTTCTCCAAGGCCAATTGCATTCTCAGCATTGTGGGCGTCAGCATTAAAGTTCGGTATACATACCGTGAATCGTGGATTCTTGCAGACAAATCTTTCCTGATCTGAAATTGCATATACGCGACATACCTGAAACTATTGACACATCATCATAGCCATTAAGTTGGTTTCGGAAAATCTCCCATGGGTAACACCTTCTCAATGATCGTAGATTGTTGTTGTCGTAATGGATGGGATCCACACGTCTTGTCACTAGTTGTCTCATCATACATGCATTAGGGCGTAACGAATGAATCCGAAAAAGTCTTTATCTATAACACCAAAATCATCATAATTATAAACTTGATTGGTATGTAATACAATCAAGGTGGAACGAACATGACTGATTTTCCCAAATAGTTTCTTTGTCCCTTTACCAAAACTTGTTATGAGACCCCAACCATATGTTTGTGCCTTCAAACGAAGGAATTCAGCATGAAAGCCATATCCTATTCTGGGAGGTGTAATAGCAGGTCTAGATTTCTTGATTCACATGAGAGATATCAGATTAGTGCATCTGTGATAATCTTTCTGTTCTAATAATCAGTTGATAACATTACGTATAGAGCAATTGGGGGTAGGCTAAAGCGGAGTAGTTTTTTTACAATTTCGTTGGTTGATATGCAAATTTGACCAATGTAATTGCAAGAATCAGGTCCGCTTTAGCCATCCTCAGCAATGGTGATTGGGGTCACCCCATGTGCGCCTAAATAAAGACCTCGAAAACTCAGCAATGGTTAACAATAAAGAATGTTATATTATTATTATAGTTAGCGAGCGCAAACTTTTTTGGGATTCTTTATTTGGAAATCCGTGGTTCCACCACCCCATCCCTATTAATATGTGGCTAGGAAGACCAAATTATCGCACTCTAAGCTGTTCCAAAAAACATTGTCGATACATTCTAAGTTTTACTTCAAACCAAACCGTCTTGTGATTTTCCCAGCCGTGTTAGCGCCTTTGCACTGAGCAACTGTAATAGGGGAACGGCTACAGCAGGGGGAGCGGCTACAGCAGGGGGGGAACGGGATATATATGTCTGATTTTTGAAAAATTTTGTAAACGCCTCGCCCCAAACGACTCATATGAATTCACTGAGACCACCACCACCCATGTATGACCAATAAAGGACTCGAAACCTCAAGGACGACACCAATTAAAAACACACTATATTACCCCGACGCGGTAATGGATATGATAGTGGTCGCGGTGGATACGATAGCAGTCGCGGATATAACGGATATAACGGATATAACGGATATAGTAATGGCTGTGGTTGCGGAAGAGGCCAGCGGCTAGACCTAAAAGTAAGCAACTTGCAGCCCAACGCTAGTTTGGCTGAATTAAGAAATTTTCTCCGGTTACGGTCATTTGGATAAAATCATCATGGACACGAGAGAATTAGACACTATCTTCGCTGGGACAGTATATCTTGTTTACAGGTAAGTTTCGTGTTAATTAAATACGTATGTTTGAGTAACAATGATATGAATAGCAATATAATTTATACTGTTTTTCTCGTTACTAAAGGCCCGCACCAGAAACGGATTTTTGGAAACAGCATCCAAGATTTCACGGCAAGCAATTGCGAATAGAGATTATACCCCCCCCCCCCAAGACATGAACAAGACCAGCCAAACTTCTCAAGCAACGCAGAAATCAAGATTTCTTATCGGCAAAGTCACTGGAAACGGGTGTATTCATTAAAGAGGACACCTTTTCTAGAGAGTGGAAAACGGAATATGACGTAAAGTTTAAGCTGAATTGCGTAAGACGCAGTTTTGAGATTGAATTTAGTGTCACTAAAGGGAACGGAGGCGTATAGGTTCCGATTGGAAACTTATTCAACGGCGCGTCGAGGGTGGGTTCTGTACAGAACTCGATACACGGAACAATCAATCGCGTGCGGTAACTACAATACGAACCAAAAACCATCCTGCCTGAACGAGAAACTTGAGATGAGAAATCAATTTGAATGGAATTTGATGGTCCTCCGGGTAGGGAAACCTAGGACGAAGAAATGCAACAGCCGACGATGGCTTCATATCCAAGCACGACAGGCGAAGAGCTTGGAAGATGGTATGCGTACAGGATTACGTTCACTCTTGACGGCATGGAGTAGTCAACAAGCAATCTTGTATCAAGGGATACCATGTTTTCCCAACACATAACGATGGTTGATGGAAGCAACCTGAAAAAATATGTTGATAGGTCAATGCTGGACTTTGATGATGTACTTTATATGTTGGAATGTAATATTAATTACTTACATGATTACAATCGATATGACGAATTCATGGACTTGCTTGCTCGACAAAAGAAAGAGGTTGTCTACCATAAAGGTGGAGCAAAAGAAGCCACGTGAAATACAGAGAGCGGTCAGTGAAGCGATGGCCGGCATTCGACGTAATTACCGTAAAAAATTTGAGGACATCTTTGCCGAATATTCTGTAAAATCTATGCTTGGTATTATATTGCGTATCATCCAAGCGAGAGAGAGGGGATGACCCTACTGATAATAGAGTTCGCAAGGACAAGAGTGAACACAAGTATGGAAAAGCGTTCATAAACGATAAGAACAGTGAAGGACTTGGAATCGGAAAAGCTAAAAAACATTGTCGCTGTTTGGTTTGATGGTGAAAGAGACAAGCGTATTGTTCCGGCCAAGCTAAAGCTTTAGATCGCGGATCTAGACAATATGAAAACGAAATCTATTAGGCCAAAGTTCTTTATTGATTCATGTATATGTACTAGCTGTCTAAAAGCAGCTTTAGCAGTTTCTGTAGTTGCCAATAAAGATCCTATAAAAACGAAAACAAAATCTATTTAGGAATAGTTTCATTTTATATCTCTTTACGAAAATAGAACAATACAAGCAATTGCTTCATCATGGAACATTACATATACGCGCAACAATATCGCTTGAGTTTTATGCTCTTGTATGGGTTGATATAAAAAAAAATTGATAGTAACCGTTTTGTCTTAGTCAAACTCTGGAAAAATAACTTGGGAATACGAATTCCTCGTCGATCAAATTTGCCAGGTTTTTTATGGAGTTTTTTTAATTCACACAATCCACTCACTAAACTAAATCTGCAGCGAAAATTCTTTATGGTTGAGAAAAGTGTCTTAATATTGTGTATTGAGAAAGATGCAAATTATCCGTATAATAATAACCTTGCTTTTCTTTATTGCCGACTTCTGATTCATAAACAAAACCACATTCAGATCAATCGAATAATGATAATGCGCAATTGTTGTTAAATAGCGGTGACTTTTCGTTTGGAGTCTTAAGTTCAAGGAAACAAAAGTTTATTCGTCGCGATATGCTAGCTTTAATTCAATTTGCAATTCTCGTGTTCCGAGTTTCTTCCTTCTTCCTGATCCTGAATTAACAATAGCAGATTTACCATGAAAGCTGAATTCAATTTCACGGGTAAACTCATAAACATTAAACTCGGATAGTTTCATCCTCGGCTCTGTTGCCGCAGTCATTCTCATATCTCCCTCATATTTCATCTCTACATGCATTCGAGCATCCGGCGGAACAGTTCCGCACGCATATTGCTAATTCTACCGAAAGTCCGCAGTCGCCTGAGTCCTCGCGGTTGATATTTCCATGATCAATCGCCCTTTTCTCTTAAACTGTATATTATATCCGTCTGGTTTAAGATTACCCAAGTTAATCGTAGACACTGAATAAAACCCTTTTAAACTAATAATCATAATCAATACCATCCGCATATATAACAATGTCTATAAAAAAATTGTTCCAAATGTCTTATATCCCGCAGCTTGGCTCCATGTCGGATAGGGAGGTTGTCCAGTTTTCCGTCGTCAGTCAAGGCGACTCATCAGAATATCGCCGTGAACATGAAGCGATGTAAGACGATCGAGCTATATCAGAAAAATACTGTATTCGGGGGATGTACCAAATTCTCCTTTCGGAGCCTCGATCGCAGTGTAAGTTTCACCAGGTGGCACAGAAACCCTTCCGAATACAACTTAAAATGGTGTATTAACGCCTCCACACGAATAAAACAGACGCGACGAACCCCAAAGTCCAAATACGCGCTCAAGGGGGCAAAATCGCAAAAAGTACGCTGGAATAACATGTGTGATAATTAATGAAAACGCAGCGGAAAATTAGAGACATATTTAAGTAAAAAAGGAATGAAAAAAGGTAGGTGGTCAATGAAAAGTACCTTAGTGAAGAAGGCTCTTTCTAATTATTCTTCTTTAAATTTCCAGCAAGCCAATGCTTATACACTCTTGATCAAGAAATTAAGTCGCTTAATGAAAAAAAAGCAACGAATCTTGATCAATTTTTGTTTTTGATTATTGACGTATTAGTATATATGGCAAACTTAATAAACATTCTCATGGTGCAATTTCTGCCTCAAATGACACAGGGCAAATCATTAAGTTTGATCTGTGGAGCATTAAAATGGATTGAAGATAATGCGTCAAGGCACGAGAATTATCGAAACCCAAATATCTGTAAACGATGATGGTTCTCTGATGTATAAGCTCTATGTCCATAAATTTCATCCCTGCCAATAGCAGAACGAACCTGTTTCACTGAAGATCGGGTCTCATATGCTGCACGCAGGAATTACAAGGTTCAAGTGTTCAGATGGACTGTGTGTGGAATCGGCAGGGTGGAGGTTTGTTGATATGGGGTTGTTTTTCTGGCAAAGGCCATCCGGGAACACCAGAAGTAGGTTAAATAGGAGAAAAGGTATTGGGATTGAGTTATTACTACAAGTGCTCATTACTATATTCCTGACGTCATAGCTGAGAATCTTGTTTCACAAATGATCGACTCGTGGCGTTAATCACTATATATCAGCGATTGTTCAGCTGCTGACATCGCTATCCAGTTAGTGGTGGTTGAATAGTCATTCGGTTGAAGAATATCCTCTCCGACTGAGGCTTGTGTAACAGAGTTTGAGACGCGTTGGTAGTCTCCCTTCAAAAATGAGTAGCGCAGACCATTTTTGCAGCAAAACTATTGTGATTATAGACAATTCGTGGAGAACGACCGGGAGTGCGGAATGTGACAAGATATTAAAACGCAATCAATATGGGACAAGCATTATCTCCGGTGGATTCAATGGGATTGCTAAAAATTTCGTTGAGATTGCAAAGGGAGTGCGACTGGTTAACTTCAATTCTTAGAGGCTTCCAACAAATCACTCGTTTTCCATCTGGCTTGAAACGCACACAGTCAAACTGGCCATCCAAGGTTATGTATTCAGGAAGTAGTGTAGGGGAAGAATTTTCGCATTTGTAAGGAATTTTATTATGTTTGTGAAAAATCACTTTATGGCATTGATGATCCGTGCTGTCTCCGCGCGTCGTGTCAATATTAACGTCCAATTTCCCGCCTCGCATTTGTTTTCTAGTTACGGACAGGCGATACAGACTTGAAATTTTATTTACAAGGGTGATAATGACCCCCAAAAAACGCTTTCGACTTTTGGGTGTTGTCAAGAGTCTACTGGAAATCTCGTCCATGGTGCGACAAGTGCAACATTAACAATTGATGGAAGGATGGACTACAGGAAATGCCGAATATGATGCAACCATCCCCTCTCGTCAACTACAAAATCTTAACGAGTTGACTAAGGGTGAGTTTGGGACCATCTACGTAGCATATTGGACAAAGGGAGAGTACAGCGGATGAGATTTTGAAGGCGAAGATGCAAATATTGGGAAACTACCAAAGTCTTAATACTTCATCTTTTCTGCATCAGGTAAATTTATTTTGATCAACTATCGTATAAAATTGTCTAAATTAGTTGTTAACCGGATCCACATTTCGATTGTTATAGCTGAAGGCTGTGCTGAATTTGAGAATCCGTTGCGATTGCCTATTACTATAATTGGTATGACACGAATCGAGTCTACTGGAGCATTGGCATTGGTGGCAACCAATCTTTGTGCTATATGTGGTCAGGATCTCCTGGAAGCGGCAGAATGGTGTGATGAATGTGAACGCAATAAATTGGACTACAAATGGAATCTACACGTCTTGAAAACTTTGTAGAGATCTTTATACGGCTGAATGGGTGTTCGGGGTTTGGTGACGAGCAAAAAGTTATTAGTCACAGGAATCTATGAAAGTATCCCTGCTGTAAGCAATCAAGATGATTGTTGCAAGTATGTATATAGCTGCAATTCTTTCTTCTTTCCTCTTTTCCCCTTTACTTACGTTACTTCTGAATGGTGCGGAAATTTTTCGCAAACTTCAGCGAGTGTTTTCCTGGAAGAGTTGACGCTTCAAAAAAAGTGGATGAAACAGGATCCCGAGACTAAAGAGCTCTTAGAAGTGGAAGATACAACGGCAAGAGTTTTTGGTTTATCAAGACTCGATTTGACAGGAGAGTTGGCGCTCGTGAGTCATCGCGCTCATCATGCTTGTAGATGTCTCCTACCCAGATGACAATGCTTGGTGCAACGACTGTGACTGGAAGCAAGTGACCGATGATGGACAAACGGAAATTCAGAAATGATATAGTCATATGCGAGTCACAAGAGAAATTGGATATAATAAAGACTGGCACGGATATCATTGTCTCCGATGGGGTTCCCTGGAATCGGCGGCTTCAAAACATGGTTGAAATCTGTTGAATTTATACGCCCATTTCCCAACGTTGGTCTTCACATAAGAAACATAGCCAGCCGGGTCACGCATAGTAGAGACTCAAAAGGATCCATCGGCAGTATTTTCGCAACTGATGACGCGGACAGCGAATATATCATTCACAATTGGGTCACCTGCCGTGTAATCGTCAAACTTGTCCGAAAACGATGACAGAAACTTTTTGAAAGAGGTACTTGATTTGATATCTGGTGCTGTGGATTATAGTTTGACTCGTATAATAAATAACCTTTCTTTCAATTAGCTGAAGGAATGCGTTACAGAGGCAACCGAAGCGAGCAAATGGGGTCTTCAAAAGTCAATACCAAACTGGCAACCAAACTGGAGTTTCCAGATCGGATTCCAGTAGAGAGTATGCACTAGTAGCTTCCAGCGCGTGTTTTGGTTGTGGTCGCATTTTCTTCGGTTCCGGGTCTGGCGATGCTAAAGAGGTGTGGTGCCAAGAATGAGATCCAAAACGGTTAATGTTCAGTTGGACTAGCGGCAATGAAGACATGTTTAAAATGGATCGTCCTGCAGATTTAGTGGAAATGCATTTGGTACTCTATATACTAGGGAACGGTTAGACTGGGAATATGACTCCTGGGAATTCAATGAAGATCAACGAATCGTTCGTCGGTGGAAACCACAGAAAGTAACGGTTAAAATCGTCGAAGATGAAACTGATTGCATTGAGGAGGTAAGAGAGAGTACTGAGA